CAACTGAAACATCAGTGTGTTATCAACATTATTTTCATACTAAATCCAAAACACAGCACTGTACCAGCTGCTAGGAAGAAAATCAATTCTATCTCAGCCCAAACCAGGACAGCACAGAAGGGGATTTCTAATATCTTCATCAGTACACTACACACAGTTTACATGGGTAAGAGTTTGGTTTATATTCTTACAGTGCACACCAGCTGTTTTGTGAAGGAAGGTTCTCTCCTTCCCCATGTGCATTGATTGGGGCAGTGTTCTCTTCCAAATTTGGAATGCCTGCAGAATCTTATTTTCTAATGATTTTGTGGAGATATTTTTATATATATATTTATTTATAAATGTCACAGAAGACTCCATAGAGAATTTTTGGTTTGTCAGTTTTCATTCTTAATGTCACAAATACATATATCAGAAAAGTTACATGCATTGCCATAAAATTTATTTTTCTACATTATAGTAATCCACCAGAAGATTCATAGAAAAATAGAAGAATTTTGTGGGGTTTTTTGGTCCTTTTTTTTTTCCCCAGACAGGTTATTAAAATAACCTTTCCTCAAGGTACATTTTTCCCAAAACAAATACTCAATTAATATAATTGTTTTTTATAGAAATACCAGAGTATTCTTAGATTGCATGCACTGTTTGATGAAAAGTCTTTTACCATTTTGGTCTTCATTGTATGGTAGCAAGTAAATTGCTGAAGATAAACTAATAATAATCAATGTAAAACTAAAGCCTGGATGGCTGCATTGAAGATAGGTGATAAAATAGCACATGGATAAGGAGTAAGTTATATAGCTGGTTAATATTTTGGAGTTTGAGGAGTTTAATAGAGTAGCTTCAGTGGACAGTAATTCTAAGGTTTTATTTATCAAGAATATGGTAGTTTCTGGATTGTTAAACAGCTGATAGTATTTTTCACTTGATTCTTTTCAGTAAAATTAGTATTGTTACTCAGGTTCTGAAATGTTTTTATTTAATTTCTGCAGCTATTCCATTGTGTGCTTTTTGTCAGCTATTGTAAGCCAAGTTTCACGCTTCAGGTCTTTAGATAATATCATCTTATTGAGAATTTTGCAGAAGGATTTTCTTGTTTTCTCAGTGGCTCAGCTAAAACCAGTGACTGGAAAATTTTCTCAGATTGGTTTTTGAAGATACTAAATAAATCCTGTATAAATGTAACAGAAAGCTGTTCCCCCCCCTCACCCCTTTCTTTTTTTGAACATGAAGTAAGGGTCGTATTGATTGGAAGATCGCTAAAGAACGCTAAGCCTTAGCAAGAGTCTTCCAAAAAATGGACTGAGATAAAATTGCATGTGATAATACCCTAGCATTTGACACATGAAACTAAACAGAGTTCATAACACATTTTAAGAATAGCTTTTTTTGTTGCTCATTTGACCATTCCTTGCTCCTTCAGGAAACAGACAAGGTTATAGATGATGGTGATCATGACTGGGAAGGAATCAGGTGACCCATGAATCTCCACCTCAGTGAACAGAATGTAACTGTAGGATAAGTGACTCTACAATGTATCTTTATATTTAAACAGAAATCCTTGTTAGAAGAGCATGAGGAAAATACACAAAACAGCACTCTATTGAACTTCTGTGTTGATGAATTACGGTCATGCCTTCTTTTAAACACCAGTTTTCTTCCCAGAATTTTGTTCAAGTGTCACATAGCTCCAATATTACTCAAGAAAGTGGAATTTAAAGAGTTATTGCTGAATTCTGACAGTCTTACTATTTTAAGTTCTTGATGTTGTGACAAACCAAGGCAACTAAAGATAAGAAATTAATGTTGTCAGAGGTATGCCTGTTTTTTTTCTCTAATCTTTTTAAAGAAGGGGCTGGGTTGGATATTGAGTCATTTAATGAAAGATAGAAGAAAGTACAGCTTACACTCTTTTTTTTAACTATAATAGAATAAAACAGGAGGATATGTGGAAGGAATAGGGGGGAAAAACCCTATGGCTTTATACCTGAAAACTTACCCTGTTAGCAAGTTTCACAAGCATTGTAAGTGCAAAGAATCTAAAAGAAGGGGTGTGTATATAGTTAATGAAAACATTTACAGCTGGCAACAGAAAAAAAAATTCAGAAGTGCTATAACCTCCCTTCTTCATGATCTTCTTGCACTTAGTGCAAATCTCAGTTAGTTCTCTAAATGTTAACTGTTTAACCTTTAGTGAAGGCTTAAAACAAAAGGATAAAATTAGAAGGTAGGTATATTTGCAAGTAACAGCTGAATTCAATTTTCTGTGGAAGATCTTGCTTCTGTTCTAGGCTTTCTCAGCTTGTACTACAACTTTGCTGGGATGTGTGCTCCAGCTACAGTGTAGCTGTGGTGGTGATAAGGTGCAGATGTAGGCAGATAGTTAGATATCCACTCTAGCCTAGGGAAAAAGATTGAATTTAGGTCAGACTTTGTTAATGTGAGATTAACATGCTAATATGAACCTGTTTTTTTTCCTCGTATGGTATGCCTTCCGGCTGGATTTTTAGCAGAAGTCAAATTTAGCACCTTAAATGCACTCCCTATGGGAGTTCTTTTAAGCCACAATTGAAAGTATCATGATAAATACTGGGCTTCTCTACTCCTGGGCTGAACTCATCTGAGTGATTTGTAACTTGTTAGGTGTCTTGCAGTCAGCTGACTTTGACTAATAGTATTTGGGTTTAGAGTTAGCTGTCGTTTGGTGTGTAAGATCTCATACTTTTAAACAAGAGAGTTGGTTCTGTAATGTCAGGTTCTATTTATAACAGTATATATTGGAATTTTTAAGCCTTGTTCTTATATTAAGTATATAAGTATATTTTAAACAAGAGAGTTGGTTCTGTAATGTCAGGTTCTATTTATAACAGTATATATTGGAATTTTTAAGCCTTGTTCTTATATTAAGTATATAAGTATATTTTAAACAAGAGAGTTGGTTCTGTAATGTCAGGTTCTATTTATAACAGTATATATTGGAATTTTTAAGCCTTGTTCTTATATTAAGTATATGTTGATAAACACCTATATAAATCTACTGACTTCAGTTTATAAACTGTAATTGAGATTTACGAATATATGTTTATTCTTTAAAACCAGTCTGATATATCTTGTAAATATTTTCTTACGTAACTGTTTACTGCTTTTCCATTATCTTATGCTAATTGAAGTTTTCACAACTTTTTTTTTTATTTCAGGTTTGCATCTGCAGGAGATGATGGAATCGTATTTCTATGGGATGCTCGGGTTAGCTTTTTTTTTGGGGGGAGGTAGCTTGTGTGCTCTGAAGAGGGTAGAATTTGGGGAAAGGAGTTAGAAATGTTTAATAGTGAAAAAGAAGAATAAATAAGAATTGCTGCAGAGCTGCTCTTTGAAAATGTAAAAATGGAGGAAGTCTGTCAAATCTTAGTTTACAAAGGAGAGCTAGGAAAGTAAAAGTTATGTGAACCCAAGAGAACAATGAGTCTTAAAAGTTAGAATGTTTTGGGAAGAAAGTGATTTTAGAGAGCTTTGATGAAACGATGTGAGAAGCAGAAGTGTGTATGAACTTGTGACTTTGATTCTTCTTTTAAAAATATGTTCAGTGTTGCAGTAAACAGTGAAATGTTGACTAGTAACTCAACAAATATGTAGCAAGGTCCCAATCCTGCTAAGATTTATATACATACTTAAGTTTTAAGTAAGTTTCAGGGGCTCTATTAGCAGTATCTATTTGTAGTATAAGTAATTATACTAAATGGAGAGCTAACACAAAACTCTGTTGGAAAGACACCAAGTCAGTGGAAGTTAAACATTTCATGCAGTGCAGAAACAAGGCCTTAATTGCCTGCTGTGATAAAAGTCTTCTTGTAACTTTTGAAAACCTTACTAAGGCATCAGTTTTATCACGGAAATAGTGCTCTCTAAGTGTCATACCCACTGTTCTGCTCTTGTGCTCTGTGTCTCCATATCATTGACAAAATTGTAGAGAAGGGATGAGCATTTGACCTGTGTTAAATAGGGCTAGTATACAAGTTAGATTGTTCAAGAGGAAGCCTAAAAGGGAGACATACTGTGGTGGCTAAACTGTGAGTATTGAACCTTCAAATTAAGGACGAAAGATATCTCAGACTAAACCTTTTTAGAAATCTTCTGAGAAATTTGTGACATTTATGATGGTGTAATTTTAAAATATGGAAGGGGGAGCTTGAAACTCCTCTCTTTTGAGTAGTTTCAGTTAGTGCTTTGCAGTTGTTGAAGGCCTTTTCCTTTTCCAAATTACAGAATTATAAATTATTTTTGAATATTCAAAACCATATATGTGCATATATATACTCAGTGTTCTGAGCATTTTATGAATGTAAAACTCATTTAGATATGCAACTTAGAATCTAAGTTCCATTTTCTACTTATGTAGGATTTTCATTGTTTATGTTAAATCTTTTGTAGCTTTAATTTAAAAACTTACAAGTGTAAACAAGTTTACAGTTATAGCTACCCTGTATTTTAATTGGATGTTTAAAATGCTGGTATGCTTCTGCATGTTTATTTGTAGGGCTTTGCCATCTAACTAAACAGAGCAGAAGTAGCTGCAGTTATCTAAACCACCATCTTGAAGCTATAGATAATGTATGTACTAAATAAAGCTGTCAGGGAAGTGGCAGTACTGTGTTTGCCATAAATATAGATCAAATTTTTCTAGTCATTAAAATAAAAAAAATTACTTTTTCAAGAGAGGGTTTGTCAACAAATCTGAATTACTGTAGTATCTGTTAAAAAGGGTGAATGGCAAATATTTGCGTTAAAATGAAATGAGTTTAATACAGAACTTAGGTCTTAAGGGCTTTTAGAGTTTTTTTTTTTACTTTTAGTAATTTTTATTATGTACTACTCCTTTACACTTACACTTAATATGTTATTTAATTCTGGGTAATATCTTGAACAGTATTGAACGTAGTAAGAAGTAAATCCATAAATTACTTTAGAAGGGGAGATTTTAGACTTAGAAATTCTTGCTTTCAAAAGTCATTTGGTACCTATGTCATGCTATAGTAGGAATTTTCCAAATTGTACCCTCAGTTTTCCATGTTTTTATTTTTCAGACAGGAGAAAAACTTTTTGAATTTCATGGACACACACACAAGATTACAGCTATAGCACCATTTTCTTCGCCAGATGCTTCTGAAGAAAAAAAAAGTTTGATTTTAACAGCATCAGCTGATAGAACAGTTATTGTATCCTTAGATCTGGAGAGGATTCAGATTTCTATGGGCTTTTTGTTGGTTTTTCCTTTTAAAGGTAGCATTGAGACAGGCTGCAGATTGTTTAAATTTATTGCCTGATAATATCCGGTAGGTATAATTGGATTACTCTAGGATTTTACTAGTTATTGCTCACAAGTAGATGCAATCCTTGCTACAAAAATGAATCCATAACATGCCTTTTAATATGTAATTTTGGCCAAATATTGAGAATAGAGGTTTAGAAAACAAAACAGAGTCTTGCATACTTATCTCCCAATCTGTCCTTTAGTTACAAACACAGCAGTTATAATGTATAAAAACCTTTCAGTTTCCTTAATGAATAAAGTCAGGTTTGGAACTGCAGTAGTGGCCGACAGGTTCAGAAAGTGTCATGTTTCCATTCTACTGTGAAGGTAAGCTGAGAAAACTGTAGGTATGTCGTCTTGTATACAAGAATGTATTATGTATGGCTCATGGGCGATATGGGCAGGTGTGTTAAAATGAACAGCAGTGTTTGGTTTAAGAACAGGTATATAATGAGTGGCTGAGAAGTGGGCACAGTTCTTAATTTGTTTTTGGAACTCTTAATACTTCAGTTTTCTTTTTGAAAGGATGTAGAATAAAGGTCATTTTAAGGTTTGGTTTTGTTACTGTGTTGGAAAAGGCAACCTACAGTCAAACTAGTTCTTAAATGATAACAGTAGGAAAAAAAAATCACTGAAAAATCAGTTTTTGCGTTGTTGATGGAAAAATGTAACATAGTATGTAATTAAATCTGTATTTCTCAGGCAAGTGACACCTTAATACTGTATTTCATAGTACCTACAGCTTTATCTAGCTAAAGCTTACGATCATTTCACTGAGAAATTCCCTGTAGAACTTTTGCAGGGAACATATATCTGATTTTTGTTCTGCAGTGTTTGACAGTACTTCAAAGACTGGATGTATGGTTGTCTGGAGGGAGTGATCTATGTGTTTGGAACCGAAAATTAGATCTCTTGTGTAAGACCAGTCATCTTACTGATGCAGGTAAAAATGTAAATGACTCATTATAGCTGTTAAAGTGCAAGTAAAATGAATCTCTATAATGATGCAAAACCAACTTGGCAAATCCTCTTTAATTCTAATGGTAACATTATGTATTAGAGCCACTCTCTATTTTTTTAAATGTCAGACTTAATAGTTTCAGAATTAAGACTTCTTTTAATCTCCTGTGCTGTGTGAATTTTAGGATATGTCAAATCTCAGTAACTTTATGTTAGCTTGGGCTACTTGCCTGGACCTCAGATGCTGATTTGTACATGTCTGCTGTAATGGGGACCAGATCCTTTGAGTGGCTTTCTCTGTGAACAAGCAGGAGTTTTATTATTCCTAAGTAAAGTTTTGTAGTAGTACAGCAGTATATATTTTTTTTTATTAAGAATCAGTACTTTTGATGTAGAAAATGCAGGTTTTGATAGAAATACAGTAAATGTAATCAGATCTCAATGTCAATCATATTTTTCTATTAATAAGTTTATAATCTGTCTATGAAGAAAATTGTTGCATATTATTGCCATACTTTGCAAAGATAACTATGAAGCTGTGAATCAAATTCGAAGTTCGAACTGGTATTTTCCTTATTTTTGTCATAGAACGGAGTAGTGGTAGGCAAAAACTTCTGAATCTTTGGGGATATTAATACTGCTCTTAATTCAGTACGAGTTATTGTGCCAAATACCAGCTGAAAGTGGTGCTGCAGTACTTAAAGTGCGGTGCTATTGAAACTTTTGTAAAAAGGGTCAATGGGATGTGCAGCATTGGCCCCCTCTTCCCTCCTAATCTCTTTCTTCCTTTATGGGGAAGGAGAGAGGTTGCTTATTCCTTGGGGAATTTTCCTTTAATGGTGTGGCAGCACAGACTGAGGGAATTCTGTGTAGGATGAAGGCAGAGTAACAGCAAGCCGGACATTTTATCTTGTGCCCTCTTCTCCTTCAGCTGGCTCTGCATAATATTTAGTATGATGCATACTGTGATAGCAACAGTATCTAACTTTGGTCCTGCATATGTTCAGAGTCTTAATAATTACCACAGTGTCCTTAGTATTGTCCAGCATTAGGACATAAACATCTTAACTGTATTTAAAATAAAAAGATTATTGGTTCTTAGCTTCACCTTTTGATGTTCAGAATTCTGCTGGAATCAGGACCAAAACTTCTGACTCTACCTCCATCTGAGGTAATCTGTTCACTTCCAATGCCACTTAATTTTCACTTAATATTCACTTAAATGCCACTTAATATTTCAGGCAATATGCTTTTATTTTGATAATAACTTGTAAGTGGAAGGAAGACTATGAAGAACTTTATTAATAAAGGAATTAACAGTTGCTCTCTTTTCTTATGGCCAAGAAATATCCTTTTATCCCTTATCTCCTGTATTTTTTCAAAGGTGTCAGTGCATTGGTTGAATTGCCTAAAAATTGTGTTGCGGCAGCTGTTGGCAAAGAGCTAAGTGAGTATGTTGCATTTCTGTTAAACGTTCATGTTCCTCTATAACAGTGCTTATCAGAGACACGTGTAAAGAGCATGCTGCTGGGATTGTGTGGGAAAAGTAAATGGTATTAGGATGTGATTAACAACCTTCTTCCTTTTTCACTTATTTGACACAGGCAGACAATAGTAATCTTATTCAGGAATTTTGTTGACATCTGCGTGACAAAACTTTTTATATTCTTTATTATTGTTACTACTGTTATTGCCATCTGTCCAGATCTGATTGTGATGATCTACATGTGTCCTTCTGGAGAGGGTCTGGAACTCATTACCTGAGCTGTCGGATACTAGGCTTCTCTAGAGCCTCTTTATCCCAAGATCAGGAGTATGACATATTGCCAATCTCATTATATTGTCTCATTACAGCTTTGAATAGTATGATGGTTTCTGTTACTAACTTGGACACAGGGTTTTCTGTGTATGCAAACTGTAAATCATTGGCTAGCTGTCGGTGGAGAGTCTTTTAAATAAGCGTGTTCTATAAAATTACTGAAATTTCAAAATATGGAAAAAAATCTAGGAGAAAAAGTATAGCACTGAATCAGCAAAACAACAGACTTTGCTCAATGTAATTAAACACTTAGCTGAATGCTAGCAATTTGATATTCTGATCAAAGAATCAAGAGCAAAGTAAAAATAGTCGTCTTGTGTTTAGACATTGGTGTACAGTGTAATCTTCTGTCTAAACTTCCCACAGTTTTTGTAGCGTCCTTGAGATATCATAAAGGAAATTCCAAGACTGGTTAAAATAAAGTCTTAATTCCTGGCAATCTTGATTGCGTTACTAGAGAATATTGCATCCTTTTGAATAATAATTTTCAGTCAGATGAGCCCTAAAGAGACATGTTTCACTTTTAGTTTACTTATCCATAAAGATGTCTGATACTTTTCGCTTCTGCTTTCTGCAACTTCTGATGTTGAGCAATGATCTGAATTTCAGTTACTAGGCTAAAATATTTTATCCTATAGTTGCTGCAGCAAGAGGTCTTAATAACACTGAAATGATTTATTCCCATTTTCTTTGTGTTATGAATGGCCATAAGTGGCTTTGCATGTCTTGTACTGTCTCCCTTATAATATGTTTTAGTCTGTGTCTTTCTGAAAATGATGTGTTTTATTTAAGCATAGCTACATTTTATTCTGAATGATAAAGCTTATTTAGACAATTTCTCTCTCCATCTTTGAAGTAATTTTTAGGTTGATTCATGAATCTGAAGGTTGGAATGTCCTTGAAGTAAAACGCCTTGTTGACCATCAGGATAACATTTTGTCATTAGTCAGTGTCAATGGTAAGAGTTGTTTTATGATGTTACTAGTTTTGTTAGTTACCAGTGAGATATTTCAACTATGAAGTGTTTATTGGGACAAAACTTTTAACTGGAGTGAAACTTCATAACTAGTAGAGCTACCTCCCTGTGTAGCCACAAGGGTAGTGAAATGTGAAAATATAATGGCTTGATCTATGGATGAACAGTAAAATGAAACCAGGGAGGTTACAACATAGAAAAGACACAAAAGACGCAATGTCATTGATGGGAATGGAACTCTGGGTCGTCTTCCTCTTGGGAAAGTTTAAAATGTGCTTTTATCTTGGTCTTTCTGATTCTTAAAATGGAATATACAATGGCAAGTCCTTTGCAGCTGTAGTCCCAAGGTAACTGAAAGTTCTGGGTGTGCGGATGTGGGCCTGCATATAGATCTGTTATTTAGAGGGTCTGGAAGATGATGCAACCTCTGCTGCTCGTTAGGGCAATACTGAGCTATTACCTGAAATTCTGTCTACTGTGCTACAGGTATCAACCCCTTCTACTTTGTTATTCCCTGTCTTTTTTTTATGGAGCACTGCCAGAGCCCAGGAGAAGTTACTCCTGGTGTGATAGAGGGTATATATTTGTCATTGGGCTTATTTGTGTCAGCCTGGTTGGCACAAAGGGGCTGTGGAACAGAGGTACCAAAAAGCTGGAAAGAATAAAACTTGGATTCTATGGTAGTTGTTTTTGAGGTTTCATGTTGCCATTATTTTCTCCTTTCCGATTATGAAGGGGAAGCAATATTTGGCTTAAAAAGACAATATGCTACCTGTGTTAAGTATTGTTAAAGCACTTCCTTTCCATGTGTGATTAACAAATTCATAAGCAGCTACTTCAATCTTGCCAGTAACTCTGCCATTTAATTTGTGATCACTATTTTTATTTATGGCAAAGACATACTTTCCTGTGTCTGAGGGGTGCTGATACACCACAAGGTGTCCAAGGGATACAAGGGTTTTGTATGTAGACAACAAATGAACTTCAAATACTTGTGCATGCTTCTGGTGATGTTCCTTGCCTTTGCTATACAGTACTGTGCACTGTGGCTGGTGACTGTTCTCCGTCCTAGTTTTAGTTTTACAAAAGAGAGCTCATCTCCTTTTGCTCATCTGAGCTATGCTAGGTAGTCAAATGAGCATTTAGTCAAAGGGAGAAGTTTTTGTCCAGTCAGTTACGTACTGCACATTCTACATAGCTTCACTTGAAAATGGGCTCTCTTAACTTTCTAGGGTTGTAACTTTGTGTGAAATGGAATTTTTTTAATATCATGTGACTTCTCTGTGTGTGGTTTTTTCCCCTCTAGACTTGACTTTTGTGTCAGGCTCTCATGTGGGTGAGTTAATATTTTGGGATGCACTTGACTGGACAAAGCAGGCATCGGAGTGCAACTTCTGGGACTCCTCTGTCCATCCAGATGTACAGCCAGAAATAAAGTTATCCCAAAGCCCAAATGAAACTTCAATTCAACACTTAACAGCTGATGAGGAGGTAAAATGCTTTAAACAGACTAAACTACTTCAAGTCATCTAGCATGACCTTACCACAGAAGGCCAAGTGCTTTGTGTTTTCAGTTTGCTTGTTTTAATATGAGAGGCTTCTTTAAAATGTACACAACTATTTTTACACAGTCAACAGTTTGTATATAAAATTTTGGTCACTGAGCTAACTGAAGGTTATAATATGTTGATGGTATGGGAACTAACTTAATGAACTGTCATAACAGTATTTCTTTTTAACTGACAAAGATTCATTAATTGTTTACAGTACCACTAGAGAAAAGTAAACAGAAGGTGTGTGTGTTGATGGCATACATCTTTCATATTCCATGGTTCTGGAAATGCAGTTTCCACAATAATGCACCTTTTGAACAGTTATAGCTGAGGGTACTATGAAGTGAATTAAAGAACAGGCATATGTCTATGCTTAGTAATAACTAAATAAATATTGCTGCTTCTATTCAGAGGGGCTATACTCAATTGTAAAGAGCACAAATATGGGTCAAAAATGCAGTCTACTGTAATCATGCTTTGAAGATAATCCAGGAGTTCTTGGTCGGAATACTCAGGCAGACCCAGTTATTGTTCAGGAAACGCAAGAAGTCCTCAGGTTGTTATTTACTTTTGTGAAATGTTACTGACTGATAGTGGCAAAAGAAAAGATGTTTCATAGTTGGGATACAGTGGGATTCTGTTTTGGGGCCTGTAGGTCCGTTGCTGGGGAATGATTAAGAAAGCGATTCCTGGAAGTGGATTCAGGGATACGAGCTGTAATAAAATAAAAGCTGTGGAAGAGCCTGAATGTAGGCTGAGGGCCAAGTAGTTGCCAGATACATTTGTCTTCTTTGTGAACTGGAGAGAGAAACATTGGGGAGTATGGAGGGAAAGTTTAAGAGATATAATTGTCTCTAAAGGTGATATTTCCAGTGGTTTTGTTGTGGGTGCTTAGTTCTAGAGGGAGGAAAAAGCCAGTCCTGTTCAGGAGAAGTTCTATAATTTGGCTTCAAAACATTTTGATTCCCTCTTGACAGCTACACAAAATGTGTTTTAAGGGAGAGGAGAAGAATTTTGGGAAGTTCAGAAGTAGTTAAAACATTGAACGTGGAATCTGAGGCTGCTGAGGACTTTCTTTCATTTATGAAACTGAACTAAACAAATTGCTGCAGAATTTTATTTGTTGTGAGACTTTTGAATGGTGAGAAGAAATGGTGGTTCTAGCATTATGTCCTGAAATAGAAGGTGCTTTTAGAGTAGAGCTGTCTGTATTGTAAAGTTCCTACTTAGAAAGTGGTGAGGCAGTGTATTCCTATAATTACTTCATTACCTGCTATTTAAAAGCAGAACACTGTTCTTTATGTTTAAAAAAAATATAAAAATTAGTGTTTTCTGTGTTAGGAGCTTTGTCAGTAGGCTTGGTAGTTAGGCAGCTGGAAAAGATGCACTTCTCTAGTTTGATACTGAGCTTGTAGGCAAAACATCATTCAGAAACAAATGGATGGTAAAGGTTCAGCAATACTAGGATACAGTGCTAAGGACTGCATCTGTTATCCTGATGTGTGTGTGTGTGTTTAACTTGCCTGTTAAGATCAGTGTACAATTTATGCTTCATCTTCTGTTATTTTCTTGGGATTTGAGATGACCAGGGTTTTGTCGGGGCTTGTGTCAAAAAAAAAAAAGTGATCTGTGAAGAACATCTTTTGCAAAGCTGTAAGACTATATGAAACTCAAGAGCCTGTCTCAAGGTGGAAGACTATAAGGGAGAAAAGGCTGAGACATAGGAGTGAGAGTGGTGTGGAAGGCCATTGAGTTGAGCCTCACATGAAACTAGGAAAATGGGCTCAGTGTTTTTTCCTTGATTTGGTAGAGTGCTATGAGAAATCTGAGCTTAGTTTGAGCTATTGGAGCTTCCACCACAGATGTGCATAAGGGGAAAAAAAAAAACAAGCCAACAAAACCAAACCCAACAAAACCCAGCAAAAACCTGGGCAAAGAATTTTGAACAGTGTCAAAACACTGTTGAATATATATAGGGAATCTTAGTCAGAGACACTGGATTACCAGTTTTACAAAATGTTGACAAGTGTGTAGTGTGAACTGCTTATAAGACATTAATGTTTGGGCTGTGTAGATGGAAGCAGGCTGTTCAGGGAAAAGATCCAGCCTACCATTACCTAAACAAGGTATGTACTGAAAGGAAGCATTCTGCACTCCTCTATTTGGTACCAAATATTTATCATGTGTACATACACATGATTGTACATTAGTCCTCTCTAAAATCATTACAAGTCATGAGAGGGTCCAGGTCCAATGATCTGTAAACTGTATGTGGCTTCTTAGGGCCGTGATGATTGTAAGATGGAATCCCTGCACTTTTCTGAAGAACTTTGAATGCAAAATGGTTCCAGATCTTTGCAGTATTCTGTCATACACTTCTGTGAGAGAGTTCCTTTTCTACACTAAGTAGAACCCAAATGCTTGAGCAAGACCTCTCTGTCCAGGTTCAGTTAAAATTAAAAAAAAAATGGCAAAAATGCAGAACAGCTTTCTGTATTCTCAGTCTTTGTTGATAAAACAAGTCTTTGTCAAAACACAGAGCATTATTTTAGTGTAAGAATATAAATGTTTAATTGCAGAAATGCGTTGATTTGTTAGTATCCTTGGTTTCTGCTTAGACTGTAAGGTACAAGATGAAAATACAGAAGTGAAATAACTGCTTAGAGTATAGGAGGATATCTCTTATTTCCTCCAAAAAAATCCATATTTTTTCTATAATTTGCTGATTCTGTATGTTTGGGATAAAGCAGTAACACAAGGACAGAAACAAGCTAGATAATGTGGGCTAGATGATGTCATACTACTGCTGGAAATCCATTACATGCAGGGTGGTCTTTCAGTATCTGTTTCTGTAAGTTGTTCCATTGAATTTTCTTTCCAGTGTGTGTTTGCAGCTGTTGGGAAAGGCATATACGTATATAATCTTCAAATGAAGCGTGTGATTGCCTGCCAGAGAACTGCTCATGAATCCTCTGTACTGCACATTGAGAAGATTCCAAACAGGTACGAGTCACGGTACACTTTGTTAGTGCAGTAAAGAAATGCAAAACTTGGAAGGGTAGCTAGAGACAGTCTGCAAAGCTACGTCTAATTTTAGGGCAAGGACTTGATCTTTAGTATGATCTTTAGTATGATCTGCTTTCATTAGATAGAGCTTGTAGATCTGATTTTTGAAAATGCATCATTGCAATTCAGTGTGGAAAAACTATAATCCAGTACGCTTGATGTACAGGCTGAGAGTAAAGTACCTTGGCTGTTTTCAAAATCAGACTTGATAAAGCACTCTTGTCTATATTGTGAAAATACAGCTTAATGGCATTTTACTTCTATAAAGCAAAGGCCTATGGCACATTCAGTAAATATTTTTCACTAAATATTTTGTAACAGTTGAAATGTTTTAACAAAAAATAGTAACTTCCAGCCTTTGTTCATTAGTGCTGAATTTCTAGCTGGAACTTATTTTGACAGCTGAGTTGGACAATTTGCTACATATATAGAATCTAATAGTTGTGTTGTTAGATCTATTTATACACTTGTTCAATGGAGCAAAAGTCTGTCAGAAGATGAAAATTAGGACCTTGATCTTGTAAATGTATGTGCTGTTCTAAAGATGTAATGAAAAGGAGTATCTTTCCTTTTGTTATTTTTCCATTAAAAAAAAAATTTGCTTAATGAAAGTAAGCTTATAGAAGCTAGTTAGTGGAACTGTGTTTGCAGAGTCTAGGCTTGTTGGTTTTTGTTTTAGAGTTGTATGCTTTTAAAATGGGATTGAAAATGTGTATTTTTTTTTTGGTATGGAACATCTGGATGTCCTGCTACATTTGAGAGTTCTAGCAAACTTGTTTAGAACCTGAGACCTTTACTATTTCTTTTATAGAAACATCATAAGGTGACTTGCACAGATAAGCAACTCTAGCAAGGATACTTATTTTTACAGGCAGCTGATCTCCTGTTCGGAAGATGGCAGTGTGCGCATTTGGGAGCTCCGAGAAAAGCAGCAGCTGCCAGCTGAACCAGTTCCAACAGGTTTGCTGTAGTAGGGTCATGAAAAGAACATTTTAAAAGGATAACAGGAAACACAATATTCACCGTATAGGAATAGGGAGGCTTACAGGCTTTATAAGAAGAGATAGTCTTGTGTTCAACCATCTGATAACTGGTGTGGGAGGGAAAGTGAAGAAGGCATGGGTGTACAAACCCTCCAAGATCTAATATGAAGTTAGAAGGTCCAGCTAAAGCTGTTCTGTGCCCTAAAGCTTATTTAGAGTTTACAGTGGTTTAACAAAAATTATGACCATTCCTGACAAACCTCCACTTCTCCTTGTACTGAATAGTGCTGGATCCTCTACCATGCAAGAGTAAATAGTTGCAGGACCTTGTGAAGAACTCTGAGAGAAGCTTGCAGATCAGCAGCTGGCACAAAACAAAAGTTTTCCACATCTCCTCTGTGAACTTGGAATGGCGTTGGGGCACACTTTGAGGATGTATCCAGCCTCATTTACATACTACCTCTGGGCATTGCAGTCCTCAAGGCTAGTTGCTAGTGTTTTAGGAAACATTTTCCCTAGGTACAGACATTGCCTGTGTAGTGCTTGCTGCTCTTTGACCAGGCCAGCAGCTTCCCTGGGCACTGGTAGTGGTGGTCTGGACAATATAATTAGTATCATGGACTGGGAACAGTAATGAGCTGTTACTGTCTCTTGTAGGAAATTTTTTTATTTGAACTGTGAATAATTTTCTTGATGTGTCTTGTCTACCTGACTGCTCATCTGTTCGTGGTAATTTTTACAAATAACTTTGCTGCCTGGGTTGATTTAGAAAAACTTTTTCAGTAATGTTCTGTCTTCAGTATTGCTGGTGACAGCTGACCTACACAGTTCTGCTTCTTACTGTGACAAGTGGTACTTGGTTTCATATTGGAAATTTATAACTTCTGTGTTTGGAGACATTTGAAAGAAACCATATGCAATAGTGATATAGTTGGACTGCTTGTGATTTGCTTTATTTTTATTTTAAGGAATCCCCTGAGTAGTAGTTCATCTCTCCGGTCATCTCCTTTGCACCAGGGCCATGGTCTAGCATGCTTCTTGTTTTGTGTGTTGATGGGGCTGAGGGAGGGGTCAGGAAGAAAGTCTGAACTGCATTGTGTACAGAACTCAACTTTCTTACTTCTGTCAGTATTATTACACAGTTCTGGAGGCTGTGGCGCAGATGTGTATTTTCTTGCTATCTAAATGGAACATGTGGAGTTCTATCGTTACACTCCAGTTTGGCTGATAGTTTTAAATCTGAAGGAGAAAGGCAGTGGGCAGTTTAAAAACGGGCAATTCAGCATCAGAAACTTGCTTGTTACCTGTATGCCTTAGTGCAGGTAATGCAGGGGAAAGACTGGTACCTCGTTGCTCTCCTCTGCATACGTAACAGTTCAGGAGGACAGAGCAAAGGTAAGCATCACTATCCTGCATCTACCTTTGCTGTTCAGTTAGTTCATTTAGGCAGTCTTCGATTTCTTGCTGTATCTGTATTATTGTCTCATCCAGGTGAGTAATTCAGCATGTCTGCTAAATTATGTCTACTAAGGACAAAAAAAGTAGCAGTGTTTCCTTCTCCCTCAGGATGAATAACCCAGATGTAGAAATGCTGTGCAGTACAATGCTTCTGTCATTTTTGCCATGCAGACTGTCCTACTTTCCGATTTTAAGTGACTCCTGTTGTTCTCTCCGTAACTAGAGGAAATTAGGAAATTGTATTTGTGATTTTTTGCCAAAATGAAAGATTTTTTTTTTCCAGGGTTTTTCAACATGTGGGGATTTGGAAGGGCAAACAAGCAGGCAAACCAAGCTGCTAAGAAGATGCAGGAGAATATGCCTATGTATTTCTTGGAGCTGGTTGGTGATTTGATTGGTCATTCATCAGCTGTGCAGGTACGTCAGCTTTAGTAAGAGCAAGAAAAAGTCAATTTCACTTACTAATGTAACTTTGACAGTGTTTCTTAAACAGCTGTAGCTTTCAACTGTCTGGCTCTGGAGGCTTGGAACACATTGTTTGTGTGGTATGTTTAGTGCAGTGTGAAAACGGTAATACATAAGGACTTAAAGTTCTAATGAGAATTCAAACACTCACTGATGCCTGAGGATTGTGTGTGCAGATATATACATACATGCTACAGATAATCTGGTGGGGTATTGGGTTTCTTCATAGACTGCAAACAATACAGCTGGGGACTGCATGTTTGTTCCAGATTTCATCTTAAGTTTGCAATGTAACAAAGGCTTATATAGAACAAAACCAATTTGGGAATTTCTTAGCCCTCTGCTGTGAGCCTTAAGGAGGTCTTTTAATTTTAGATCAGGTATCGTTCTGAGCTTCTGTCAGCCTAATAGAATGTTTTTGTTTCAAGTGGCATTTTCCCTCCACACCTTTTCATGTTTGATAAACCTATTGGAGTAATAAATCACTTTCTAACAGTGGACTTTTATGCACATTCTTGGCAGGAGCAGTGAGAAGGGCAGGTAGAGAGGAGTGGTGTGGTTCTGGAGTAGTTTTGCTCACAAGTATTCATGAGACTGACTGGATTTCAGAACTGCTACTGCCAAGAGCCGAAAGCTTTTCACTAATAGCTAAGATGAACCTTTCTGCTACAGGGATTTCTGCAAGGCTTTCTGCCCCTCTCTACCATCTTTCTGAAAAACTGTTGAAAGAGGCCCTATTATCAGTATGGAAAGTTCCTATCTAAGGAGGAGGACATAGTGTGTAATTCAGCAAGAGGCACAGTAAAAGAGGAGAGGCACATGTTGGGTCTTTGCTGGGATGCTGGAGAGCCAAGGAGTAACTGAAATGATGGCGGATGTGATTTCCTGCAATGTTCTATATATGAAAAGTTCCATTTTTAAACTCTGAGCAGACTGGAGCAGTTGAGGCTGGAAATGTTGAGTAGTGATGAAATGTGATGGTCAAAGATGTGGGCTTGGCCAGAGTATTTCTACTGGAACCACGTAGCTAGTAATCTAGTAATTGGCTGTTCCCAGAGGAGGCAGGCTGTAGCATAGTCCTTGGCCTGAATGCTTCCCCTGGGCAGATTCCTTCAGCAAGCTGAAGAGTCAGAACATGGCAGGCATGCTGTAGTGGCATCACGTGACCTGGTTCCACAGGCTGTTGTGTTGAATTGCAATTAGTGGCTAATTTTAGGCAGCCTTGTGGAGGTCTCTGAAGTCAGGGATGACTATATGACTTTTCATCTCCATTGGTCTTGCAAAATCACTCCACTGCTGCTGTACTTTTCTGCTGTGTCCCAGTTCTTGCTGGTTTGGCTTCCTCTGTGTGACTAGGCACATGCTGATGTCTGTCACAGTTTAGTCTTTGATCCTTCCAGGCCTGGTGATGGTAGCCTGTGGGGTTGTGTGGGAAGGGGACAGTGTACCCAAGTGAGCAGAACAGTGGCTTCTGTTCCTAAGAAACCAGAAGATCAGAGTTGACACAAGTCACTCACTCTTCTACTGCTGACTTGGAACAAGTTTCTTCAGTGTTCTGTACCTTAGCTTTCCTATATGTAATGCTATACTGCTTTTTCTAAACTGAGATTTTTCAGTGTGAAGTGCTCTTTAAGTGTTGTTTTCATGTAGGGATTTTATGACTTCTCAAACATATAGAAAGTATACATTATAATTTTGCATACCTATGTTCAAGCAGAACCATTTCAGATGCATGAATTTGCTTAGTCTAGCTGTACACTGAATATTTAAGCAAGCTGACAATCTCACGTGAGCATCATGGTAATAGTAATTGTTTCATTGCAGATGTTCCTGTACTTTGGTGAACTGGGACTGGCTACATGCTCTGCTGACCACCTCATTATTTTGTGGAAGGATGGTGAACGAGAATCTAGACTCCGCAGTTTAACACTATTTCAAAAATTGGCGCAAAATAGTGATTTGCAGCTCGAATTGTGAACTGCTGGAACACAGCCTACATATGTATAAACTGGATGTGTGTTAAATGTGAGTGTAAAGGGAAGTCTGAGCTACTGGGAATGTGACTACCAGTAAGATTTACACTTAATGTCATGTATTATATTGGGATTTTTATTAGTTGCTACTACTCTTCTCAAAGGAGAATTTAGCATGTGGAAACTTATTTGGCTTACTCTGTCAGCAGAAATGATGTTCTCTTGAAACACTGAAGTTAATGATGACTCATTATATAGTTTCTAATATTATTCCCAATGTTTAAAAATACCATGGGTGGATGTCAAAATTAAGATTAGATGGATCATAACTAAAGCAGCTGGGGGCATTCCACAGTGCTATCTGCAGAGAGGAGGCACAGAAAAAAAAATCTGTGGCTTCCTGCTTTATGTAACTTATTTCTTGAAGCTAAACTTCAGTCACTGATGGCTCAGATTTCTGTATCTACAAAAAACCCTAAAAGAAACAGTTCTCAAATAGAATTTTTGTATTTGAATTTACTATCCTGCACTAAAGGTAAGAGCAAGAAAGAAAAGTAGGTTTGTCAGGTTTTAATTTTTTGCAAAGCAAGGTATGTAGATACTCGTCGCCTGCAGTAGCTGCAGTTTTACTGTGGGTTAACCAACACTACTGGAGTTTATATAGCACCATTACCATGTCTAGCATGAAGTGTGATTGGCTTAGCTTAGTCTTTCCATAGTGCATTCATCAAATTAATTTGTATCTAATAAAAAGCAATGGCCTTACTGTGGATTTTCGGGATGTAAAATACTTTCTTAAGCAGTAGCAGTTGATGTGTTCAATACTTGCAAAACACTTCTGCAGGATGAATACTAAATTCTCAGCTGAAGTTTGACTACAGAGAAACCTGTACCAGGTTTGTAAGGATAAATACTATTTTAGAGTTTAAAAAGTCTCTAAGTACACAATGCCTTTTTCAAGTCTGAGATAGCAGCAGTAAACTGCAAGCTAAACAGGAGTAGCAAAAAACCCCCAACAAAAATGCAAAAGCAAAAAAAAAAAAAGCAAAGTTGAACTCGGAACTGATAGAAAGAAAGTGGGAGGGAGGATGAGAAGAGCTAGAGAAGGGGGGAGTTTGGGAAGAGGGTGCTGCTGTCCTCAAGCCTACTCAGAAGATCCAGCACTTAAACAATTCAGGAGTAAGTCTCATGCAGCTGTTCAGTGCCATCTCTTCCCTTTGAATCAATGAGAACTGTTTTCAGTACAGGAGACTACAGGGCGGTAATTCCAGACTTACGATCTAGTGGCTGCAGTAAGCGCAATTAAAACAAAGGGCTAAGCAGATCCTGCAAGAGCAGAAGCAAAAGGAGGAAGCTCTAGCTTCCTAGAAGAAACCAAGGAGCCTTTTAGACTTGCTTCCCCCAGCCTCTGTGGGCACTTGCCTTCCCCCTGCCACCAGAAGCCAAGCTTTCCCTCTTGAGTCTGACCATAATCTTCCCTGAAAGGCAGGGCAGAGGGACAGTAAAATTTTGAGCTGTATCTTTTTTCCCCACTTTGGTCAAGTTGTACAACTAATCTTACTTGAGTGTAGAGCTCAAAACGACGTATTTCAAAAACACAAAACAGATGGAGAAATTGTTAAATTACCATCTTCTTTTAATTCAAGAAGGTTAAATCAGTGTTAAATCTTGAGCTGCATGTTCTTTGCTCAGGGTCGCTATTCTCTAGACCAGTGTAGGAAAGGTGTTTGATTACAGCTTATGATAACATGCCTTCGGGTATATGGTATTAAACTTCAGGGAGGAAGGCATGTTAAGCCTTTCTGCTTGTCAGTCGGCATTGTTTCAGCTTGTCTTTGTCAGCAAGTGTTGCATTTTTGGCTACCCCAGTATAAGCTGGGGGCATCAGTTTCTCTTTGGCTTTTTTTCCCTTGTTTCAATTGAGAAATAACTGTTTAGTTGTATATAAAGTGTGTGTTTGCACATTGTTAATAAAACTTTACAGTAAAAGCTTGTAAAAGGTAGTTTTTTTGGAAAGGCTACTGCTGTCATAATTTATAACTAGAGAGAAGGAACATCATCTTTTTTATTACCTCTTCTTCCTTTACCATGAGAACAACTATTTCATTTTTATGTGACTGCTTTTAAGTGAATACCTGGTAAAGAAACAGACCTATTTAACTGAACAGTTCTAGTCACAAAACTCATTGTGCATTTTACAGGCATGTAATTCAGCCTTATAGTCCTACATGTATGTATAAATATTTGTATCTATCAAAAGTGCCGTTGTTCTCAGACTCCATTGGTAATAGATCTCGCAAGGGTCTCTTCCTTTAAAGATGATTGAGTTGAAAGTATTAAATTGAGTTCTTTGTTTCACAAACGAACTTGGAGTGTAACAGTGAACACAATAAGGCTGTACTACCCCACTCCTGTTAAATAGTTTGTCACTTGCTGTTGGGAAGTGCAGTGAGCAGAATTAGGATGACCAGATCAGAAATTTTACTTCCACCTTGTATCCTTTCAAATTTCTTTTTCCACCTCACAGTAATGCAGAATTCCATATGTTCACGTCGTGAAAGTAAATATCTTTATCACACCTACCCTTAATACTTGTACAACTCTGAGGTGGCAGTTTTAATGTGCACTGACAATAGCATGAAAGAAGCAGCTGTCAGTCAACTGAACAGGTTAGAGTCTAGGAGATCTGACACAGCTGGCAGATGACAATTAATCTATGCTGATTTCTTTTGCTCTTAAAAAGGACATATCTTCACACAAATTACTTTTTTGCTTAGTCTGACTGTGGGAAGAAACACAAGATCTTGCAACAAATATATTGATTGCACAATAACACCTTAACTTGTGAACCAGAACTGAGGCTGAACTTTATTTCTTAGGTTCCTTCCACCATTCACATTTTCTTCCTTGTGACAGAAGTGTGACAAAAATAATGAATTGAAATGTTTTACATGGATGTGGTCTGACAGTGCTGTATTTTACAAATTAAATTAAGATGACAGAGCTTTGAATCTTGTGGAATTCATTTCTCTAATGCAAGCTGCAGTGAGTGTTCAGTCATCAGAATAGTTAAGGTACAGCCACCGAGAGCACTAGTTGTAAATAAAGGAATGGTAAAAGCAAACAGTTTACAGTATAAAAAACAGAGGTTCAACTTATTTGAATAAAAATCCATTGAAGAATGTTGCAAGAGATAAGAAAGAATAAACATACTTCACCAGAAACACCATTCTTCAGATATACACAATGCAGCATTTTAATACACAGCAACCTGCCTTAGCTATGACAAAAGTAAGTTTCTATTACAATTCTAACAAAAATATAGCTTATATACATTTCTCTGCACATACATTTTATGAATGTTTCCTTTTGTTTCAGAACTTGGTACAAAACATACAAAAAAGGTTGGCACATTATGTAAGCTACCTGCAGAAAACAGCAATCATTGTAACATTTCTTCCACTTTCTATTTTGTTTTGGGTTTTTTTTTTGTTTTTTTCCTTTACTGGGTTCAATTCTTGATACAGCATAGGGGAGGTAAAGGTCTCGAGACCTTTCCTTTTAGTGAGTACTGGACTGCATCTTCAACTGCAGCCACACCTTTGACACTCTTGCCTGCATCCTGGAGTGCACAGTGTTAAAAATCAGCAGTTCTGCTAGTATTAATTAACTGAATAGTCTAAAATTTGAACTCATGTTCATGTTCTGCATGTGATTAAAATGAGATGTACAAAAATATGCATTTGTGCTTTGGAAGCTTTAGCATAAATTTCATATCATAAAACTAATGAAAAACTATGTTTGATTTCTAACTTATTTACATTTTTGAAAGACTTTTTACATCACAAAACAAACCAGCATTTTATTGGCGGGGGGGGTTTGAGTACAAATTATAATGCTGTTACAAATTATAACCTGGAAACTTTTTTTAAAAAGTGACAGGTTCATCCTAGAAGTAAGTAGCACAATATATGGACTTAGAAAATTTAGATCAGTTTACTAAAATTGATGACGATGTGTACAAACACCACTTTATAAAAAAGATGTTGATGAAGTGCCACAATGGGTTTTTTGTGTAAAATTTGTAACATCTCTTAAGATAGCAGAGAAACAGGTGGATGGCACCAATTATACAGAACATGCTTATTTTCCTCCATTATATGAGCAATTTTAAAGGACTTTGACTCCTACCAAGATTTTCTATAGAAAAGGAAGAGTGAACAGGTGGTGGTCTGAGAGACAGTCTCTGTAATAAGACTGTTTTAAATGGTACAGAGTTTGGTTTTTTACTGTATACGATTTATTGAGGTTTACTTGTTCTACTGTGCATGTTTGCTTTAGAACTATGATTCAGGGAGCTGAAGAACTTGGACAGAATTGGAGCAAATTTATGCTAGATACGTGGGAAGTTTTTATGCTTATTTGTCAGCCTGTTCTTACTCTACTGGTGACTAGATTACCGCTTTGTCTGAGAAACTGTTCTGTGAAGTGTTAGTGAATATGGTTGAATCAGTTACAAGATTTGACAAATTTATATTCAGTATTAGAAATTAGTTTCAGAAGTACATTTTTCTGCCACAAAATGTTATTTCCAAAGAGTACTTATTCATCTGTGGATTATGTAGCCTTTTTGAAAACATTTTTCTGTAGGATTCAGTGAAGCTTAAAAGTAATGAATAAAATATTTCCTTCTTGCCACGCAGTCTTAATTTCACTGGAAAGGAAACACTATCGCTCTTGTAGCCAAGTCAGTAAGTGATTCACAGTGAAACTGGTAGATCAAGAGGTCTGTTTTTCTTGCCTTACTGTCAGTTGTTATTTTCTGATGGGAGCCTGAGGCTCTTGCACTTTAACTCATCCAGTGTTTTCCAGTGTTTGTAGTTATTAGCCAAGTGTTGCATCAAAACAGGCAGATGTGCAAATGCTGAAATGAGCAGGAGAAACAGTTGTACTAGGTATACAGAATGGGCAGAAGAACAGCACAACCTCATCTGAAATTGGCAT